TTAGAGTGCACAGGATGGATGTGCTGGTACTCTCACTGCCCTCCTCAGCACCCTGGGGGCAACTCTACAAAGTTCAGGGAGGCTCAGCCCCAGGGTCCAAGCCCTTACTCTTTTGTATACCATTTTGACAGAAAAGCTAGCCCTTTTGTTGACCCTTTTTTTGAAAAAAAAGGTACTCCTTCACTTACTTTCACAACTGGCCTGTATTATCTTGTCATTTTCATGTAGTGCATTACAAATGAAATGATATATACAGTCATAAGGTGTTTCTGTTCTAAATATTTCAACTAATAGCCCTTTAAAAAGAACTAAATGACAGAGTTCTTTTCCTTTTCCCTGCCCTTTTATATACTTGAAGCCTGGAAAAGGTACTCCTTTCGGGCAGAGCCTCCCTGTTTAGGCCATTATAGGGAGTACCCTCACCCTCAGGCTCAGCACAAGATCATGACAGTAGTTCTATTCACAACCAGAATATGACTATGTTCTAGACTGTGTGTGTGAGATATTTAAGTGTTAAAGTTCAAACTTCAAGGAGAGTTTAAAAAAAACAAATTATTGTTGACATTGTTGAGCTAGTTTAAGCATCGTTAGTGTTGCCTTTGTTGTTTAATGGCAGGTTAACCCTATTCAGACTGGGCTTTATTGATCTTACTATGACCAGAGATTGGGAAGGAGGGGATTCTGCCCATCTACCCTTCATAACGTCAAGTACACTGAAGCTCCATTGAAGCAATGATGATGAATTTTTAAAGAGTTTATATCAGTAACACAACCAAAAATATGTTTCTTTGATTTAAGCAACATGGGATTATGATGTCATATCAAATCATGCCCTGCCTAAATTGTTGCTAAATTTCTTGAATTATTTTTCTTTGCTAAAGAAAATTGAAAAATATTAAACTTGCTCTGCAAGTGTGACGTAATTCCTATATATCTTGTGCACAAGTGCATCTTTAATAGTATTAAAAATTATTGTCATAAAACCATCCAAAGAATATTGATAATATTTTCGTACATTAATATAATGTTTACAATTGGCTTTCAACAATGCAAGGTGATGATAATGTTTTTTTGGTCTAGAGTGATTTTACATAACTTGTGAAACTAACCATGTAGTTGTGTAATAGGGGAATCTTTTCTTACATTTACAATATTTGCCTCATATTAACACTAAATGATAAATTGTCCCAACAAATTTGACCTCAATGTATTAAATGCTTTTTGTCTGGGTCAGTAACTAAATATTTTGCAAAGAGGGCCTGGGCTAGTTAGCACTTCTACCACCCGGAAATTCTAACACAAAGGAGGCAAAATGTCAACAGTCCTTCAGCAAAGATTTGTTGATACAACCTACTATTCTGGAAATCATCTTTTTTGTTGTGTTTCCTGTCCAATACATGTTGAATATTAGAATCATAATGTTTCAGGTTAAGTAAAATCATTCGTATGTCTCAGTGTAGTGTAGATATTATGGGTATTGGGTTGTTACATATTATTAGCGCAGTTATTACATGCAGTTAAAACAAATCGTATAAAATAAGTTATTATTAATAGTTGTACAGTTTTATCAAAAGATATATAAAAATTAACATTGCCTAGAATACATGTAGAGCTGACAGATACAAATTGCCAGAAAATTATTTACAAATAATTCCTGAATGATTGGAGTATAATTTAATACTAGATAGTTCTTTAATGTATTTTCTGCCCAATAGACAAATATTTTTTTCAATAAAAGTACTTTTCTTGGAGGTGCTGTATTTTTGATGTCTGGTTAACATTCAAGGTTAAAATGCATTTTTCTTAACTGTTGTCATCATACACACTCTGTTTTAACTGCGCGATAAAGAGTCCAGCCATTGAGGCAGGATTTTAGGCGTACAAGATAAGCCAGACTGGGACTGTGCATAAATTTTTGTTTTACTGACACTGAACAGTACATTCAGACATTTTAGTTACTCATAGGTGAGGGATTAGCTCATGTGGATAAAAGAATTTTAAAGAGCAGGGATGAAGCATTGATTAAGCTGACAACAAACAGTGACAGTTTCCTTTATTCTGTGCTCATTAGAAAGCCTAAAGCTAGTTTTATACAAAGTGCTCACATAGTTAATAGAGGGGAATGGTTATGAAACCTGACAAAGTTCTGTT